GCCTGCTCCAACTCAGTCAGGAGCAACCGGCCAGACCCTCAGTGTTGGGGGAGGAGGAGGAGATTACTAAAGACTCAGACCTCTCGGAGGATGAAGATCTGGCACTTGACCAGCCCACCTTTGTAGGCTTGTTTAAGCCTGCTGTCTTCCGTTCCCTCCTTTTTAAGGCCAAAAAAGTGACTAGGCTGAGGTTGAGTCAGGGTTCTCAGGATTCCACCTCAGATAAGAAGACTATGGATCCCCTTTCTTTGGAATCTGCAATAGAGAAGGAAGTCATTCCTTCCCCCAGGTTATTTTTAGACATTGTCCAAAGACAGTGGGCCTCCCTGGGGTCTGGGCCTCTCCCTAATTCTCAGGATAAGCATTTATAGAATATTGGACCCGCGTTAGAGAAGGTCCTGGAGGTCCCTTCGGTAGACCCCCTGTTGCCACCCTTCCCCCACTGTAGGCCCAGGATCTCCAGAGGAGGCTTTGAGACCAGAGGACAAGCGTTTTGAGCAAACGCTGGTCAAGGGACACCAGGCTTTGGACTAGGCTGTCTGGGCATCTATGTCAGCCTCTTTCTTTACTAAGTTCGCCCTGTTGTGGCTAAAACAACTGCAGGAGACACTCTCTCCAGCAGATTCTAGGTCACACCAGGATCTTAACAAGATAAAAGTGGCTATTGAATTTAAGCTGACGCATCCCTGAACGCAGTTCACTTTGCATCTAGGTTCATGGCCTCCTCTTATCACCATGAGGAGATTCCTCTGGCAGATGGATGCCAGATCCAAATGGAAACTGGCCTCTGCTCCCTTCTCAGGGGAACGCCTTTTCGGGGCTCTGTTGGACCCTATCCTTATAGAATCCCCGGACAAACACAAGATCCTTCCATCCAAGTTTCATAGGTCCGAAGGTAGGTCTTCTCCTTACTATAGGCGTTCACCCTTTTGGGGGTGGGGGTGGGGTTTAATGCCGTCCTCAACATTCATCCTTTCCTAAGCAGGGTCGGCAGCCCCAAGATAGAGCTGGTAGGGGAGGTCATCACTTCCCCCTAGACAATTGTTCAGAGGAGGAGCCAACCGACCATTCAGATCTCAGAAATGACTGTTTGGACAGCCTCCCCATAAGGGGACATCTCTCAGCCTTTGCCGACCGGTGGGAGGACACCACGACAGACTCCTGGGTGAGGGACACAATTCGGTTCGGTCTGTCCCTGGAATTTCTCCCCCCCCCCCCAAAGCTCTTCATTCAGTGCCCAATATCCCGAGATCCTCAAAAGCGTCTTCTCATGGACCAAGCGTCCTGTACCTGCTGAAGATTCGACCGTCCAGCCAGTTCCCATAGATCAGGTAGGGCAGAGATTTTATTCCCTTCTATTTCTAGTCCCAAAGCCTTCAGGGGGTTGGAGAGAGATTTTCTACCTTAAATCTCTCAACCATCACATCAAATAATCGGAGGTTCAAAATGCACTCCAAATGATTTTGGAAGGGTTCGGCAAGGGCGATCTGCTCACCTACATAGACCTCACTGAGGCTTATCTTCATATACCCATCCATCCTGTCCACAGGCAGTTCCTCAGGTTTTCATATGCAGGCAAACATTTCCAGTACAGGATTCTCCCCTTCGGCCTATCCTCAGCCCCCAGGGTTTTCACAAAGATTCTGGCAGCAATAGCAGCTCATCTCCGCGCAAGGCCCATAAGGCTCCAGTACTACCTGGATGATACCTTTCTCTAGTCCAGTTCCGTAGCACAGGCCGAGTTATATCTCAAGGACATGATCCTGGTACTTCAGGACCACTGATTTTTCATCAATCTGGAGAAAAGCCATCTCATTCCTACAACCCGTTTCCTACACTTGGGAACAATACTAGACACCGTGTAGGGCAAGGTCTTGGCTCCTTTGGCCAAGGTTCTGGACGCTCTCACAGCGCCTCCATTCAAACCTTTGCATATTACTTCACTGCACTTCCTTTCACTCAAGGTGGTTTTTTTGGTGGCCATAACATCGGCTCTGTATTTTCCATTCCGACAGAGTGGTACTGAGCCTCAACCAGGCTTTCATTCCAAAGGTCAATTCCAGATTTCACAGATCCAAAGAACTTGTCCTCCCCAATTTTTGCCCCACTCCGGGACACAGACTGGAATGTAAATGGCACACCCTAGATCAGTGGTAGTCAACCTGGCCCCTACCTGGCCTACTAGTGGGCGTTCCAGCTTTCATGGTGGGCGGTAGGGGTTTGCTGCAACTGTGCTTTATAAATTTTATAAAGTAAAGTTACTTCCCTACTTTATAAATCACCATTACTGTGGAACCATTGGGCGGTTAGAACATTTTACTACTAACAGATACAAAAGTGGGCGGTAGGTATAAAAAGGTTGACTACCCCTGCCCTAGATATACGTTGAGCTCTGCATATTTACATAAAGAGGACCTCCGCGTTCCGCCATACGGAAACATTGTTCATATCATTCCAACCAACCTCCATGGGCACAAAGACATCATCCATTTCCATCAGGCAATAGCTCAAAGCTTGCATCTCCAAAGCATACAAATCTCAGTCATTACCTCCTCCGCAACACATCATGGCCCACGCCACCAGGAGCGCAGCCACCACGGCAGCTTGGACCACACAAGCTTCTGTTGAGGAAATTTGCAGGGCGGCTACGTGTACCCATTTGTCTGCCATTATAGGCTAGGCAGATATGCTTCAGCAGATGCAGCTTTTGGTAGGAGGGTTCTACAATAGGTGCATTCAGCACGGGGGGCTTTGGCCCTGGACTTCAACCCTCCCTTGAGGACAGGACAGACTTTGGTATGTCCCGTTCCTGGATGCTATCTCCACTAACTATGGAGAATGGGTGTTGGTTCTTACCTGAGACTCCCGTTCTCAGGGCAGTGGAGATAGCATCCAGCCCCACCTCTTTTTTTCTTTTGTCTGGTTCCAAGTTTCCGAGAGGTAGCAATAGTTAGGATAAGGAGAGTAAGAGAGCAACAAGGTTTTGTTTTTTTGTATTTGTCACATCAGTCTACAGTATTCCCTCGTCAAAAGCTGGGAGGAGCTAGCAGAGGAGCTATGATGTCACAACTATAGACTCAGTCCGATTGGATACTGACGGAGTTAACCCATTCCTGGATGCTATCTCCATCACCTTGAGAATGGGCGTCTCGGGTAAGAACCATCGCCCATTCTACTTCACAGCATTAAAACTGAGAGCACATTTAATTGTAGGTTTTACAGTTTCCTTAGTTTTAAAAAATGCCCCTCAAGTAGTCGTGTTTAAACGGCCCAGTGAAAAATGGCTTTGTGAGGTTTTATAAATCCAGCAGGTTGATTTTTAGCAAAACATTTGGATTGTACCTTCTGAGTTGTTTTAGGAGAGTTTGTTGCATTTATATTACAATTAGCATTTCCTGCTTTGGTGCAGTCCTGTAAGGCCATGAAGAACTTTACATATTTGTCTTGAAAGATGTAAGATCAGTAAAAAACATTGTGGTAACAATACTGAGCTTCAAACATGGAGGACTTTTCCCCTTTCAAAATGTTGCCTATATTGATGTATTGACATTACTGCATATATAAATATTTATATTTATCAAATTTATTTGCTGCCTATCTCATGATTCAGGTGACTTTCTGTATATTGTTTATTAATGAAATATTAAACAATTATAAATATAAACATGGATTAAAGAACAAGGGTTTGGGGGACAGAGATGGGATGCCTTCTGTTAATGTACCAACAATCTCCAGCTAACAGCTTCTTTGGGACTCCATGACAGCCAGCATAGCCAGGTTTTAAGGTATTTCCTGAACACTAACAGTGGGGGATCTTACCTTCTGTGGCAAGATGTTCCAAAGTTCAGGCACTGTGGCAGAAAAGATTCTTCTCCTGGATCCCACCAGCCAAAAAGATAGGATCTGCAGTAGACCCCTTCTGCTTGCACGAGTGTGACAGGCCAATCCCATTGGGGAAAGACTGTTCCACAGATATCCTGGACCAATACCATAAAGGGCTTTAAAGATAATAAACTTGAATCGCATCCGGAAGCAGATCAGTAGCCAGTGAATAACTGGTGTTATATGAGCCATCTATGGGCTTCCAAACTGTCTGTGTTGCTGTGTTCTGGACCAGTTGTAGCTTCTGAATACACTTCAAAGGTAGCCCCATGTACACCATGCTGCAATAATTGAAAGGTTTTTACAGCTTTCTGTAGTATAGAGTTTAACTTTTACATTAATTCTCAAACTATATTTAAAAATTAGTTTTATTACACAAAAAGAAACACTAGTTAAATATTCACTTAAGCTTAATAGAAAACTTTTGATAGGAAATATTTATCTTGCTTAGAGAAAATAATTTTTGTTACTGACATTTTCTTAATTATATATTATCAAAATCATTGCTGAAAGTTCTATTTTTCCCCTCCCCCAAAGTGAACATCAGAGTGACAATAGATTTATTAAACTCATTACTGTGATGGGATGGAGGCTGCAGAAGAATAACTTCAGCTTCATTCTTCCCTAGTAAGCATCCCATCACAGTGATGAATGTATATGGGATTATATATTTATAATTTATGGTCTAACGTCCTGAAAAGTCTTTAGTGGAAGTGAAAAGGTGAAAATCTTACCATCTCACCTATGCTGTATAATAGTACTGTCTTGTAAAAATACACTCATTTCTTTTCAGCCATATTGGTGGGTTTGTGATTTGTCCACTCCTGGCTTTCCTTCTCCATTTCTTTATTATTCATTTTGCATTCTTAAAAATTTAATGGCATTGACCTTTTTGTTTTTCATTTCACTTTTAGGCTCCTTATTCATATAACCCTGATACACTTTTACCCTAAAGCTGTAAATTCAGTTCATATTTCATACACAGCAAGCCAGTCCATTAAGAGTGCTTAAGTAGTAAATTTTGCTTTGTTTAATTTTTGTGAAATGAATTATAAATATGGCTGTTTAACTTACTATTTCAAACTAGCTTTTCCTTTACATTGGTATCTTTCTTTCAGACCATTTGGACAATGCTATGAGTTTCTAACACTGCATACAGTGAAGAAATACTTCCTTCCAATTATAGAAATGGTCCCACAGTTTTTAGAGAACTTAACTGATGATGAACTGAAGAAAGAAGCTAAGAATGAAGCCAAAAATGATGCTTTGTCAATGATCATAAAATCTCTGAAGAACTTAGCCTCAAGAGTTCCAGGACAAGAGGAAACAGTTAAAAACTTAGAAATATTTAGATTAAAAATGATACTTAGGTAAGAGCTCTTCAGTTGTGCTAATGCTTTTTAGGAGTTGAGTTATTTTGTTCTGCTCCCCTTACAATGTTATTTTAACATTTCTTTGTAGGTTATTACAAATTTCATCTTTCAATGGAAAAATGAATGCACTAAATGAAGTTAACAAAGTGATATCTAGTGTCTCCTATTACACCCATCGACATGGCAATCCTGAAGAGGAGGAATGGCTTACAGCAGAAAGGATGGCAGTAAGCTTATTTAATTTAGTGGGAAGCTGTTTAAACAATATGCATCTATTTGTTTATTTTATTTATCAAATTTATATAACTACCCATTTCATGAGAAGTGACTCTGGGTAGTGTACAATAATTAAATAAAGAAGTTACATATATCTACAAGCAAACATTTAAAAATATAAAAGTCAACATTAAAAAATTAAAAGTAAAATATGTAGAAATCCAAATAGGGAGAAAGAGAATGCATACACTTCAATAATAGAGCCATCTAAACATGTTTCCAGTTCCCTGGACCCCCAGACTTGGCAGCATAACCAGATCTCAGAATATCAAAAAGGATAGAGCTAATCTAATTCACATTATATCTTGCTACATGCTTACATAGCAAAAACAGCACCACAAAAAACTAGGAACCCAAGTTAAAATAGCAAGAAAATTGTAAGTGAGTACTACCTGTCTACCCTAGATGAGTTCAAATCACCAGGACCGGATGCATTACGCCCCAAGCTTCTGAAGGAACTGGCAGACCAGATCTCAGAACCACTGAACTATATCTTTCAAAGATCCTGGAGCAGTGTGGAACTGCCAGAGGACTGGAAAAGAGCTAATGTTCCCATCTTCAAAAAAGAAAAAAATAGATCCAAGAAACCACAGACCTCTCAGCCTGACCTCAATACCAGGGAAGATTCTGGAAAAGATAATCAAGCAATGAATCAGCGAATACCTAGAAGCAAGCAAAGTAATAACCAAAAGCCAACATGGGTTTGTTAAAAACAGATCGTGCCAGACTAATCTTACTGCATTCTTTGACAAAGTGACAAAAGTAGTGGACTAGAGGAATGCTGTTGATATAATTTACTTGGACTTCAGTAAGGCATTTGATAAAGTAGACCATAACCTACTAATAGATAAAATAGAAAATTGTGGGTTAGACAGAATCACCACCAGATGGATTCGTAACTGGCTGACCAACCAGTTACGTAACTGGCTGACAAATCAATATGCAGTCCTCGAACTGAATCTACATGGAAATATGCAGTGGAATACCCCAAGGCTCTGTTTTAGGCCCAGTATTCTTCGACATCTTCATCAATGACTTGGATGAGGGGATAGAT